GAATCCAAATTCGGCAGCGCATAAAATCTTCCCAAACTGCTCATGCGCACGATAAAGGCACTAAGGTAATCTCATAAAAGTCCGGACGTCTTTGCGCCTGCAAAGGTGCAATGCTGGGACCTACTGCGACACTTGAACGACATGTCATTTTACAGATAAGGCCTCGCCCTCCCGAACGAATCCTTTGCATGATATAAGCCTCAATATGAGCCTTTAACTAACATCTGTATATATATATAGCTATCTTGACATGTATATATAGATATGGCATCCCCCCCCCCGGGGGAACATAGGTTTAGCAGAGATCCAGGATTCAGCATCTCTGCTTCCCGGTTCCGGGGGCCGATTCAACCTGAATCGGGCCGATTCAATCGGGCCCCGGAACCAAGAACCAAGACTTCAACAAATAGGGTTTACATGAATAGGGCTGAACACTAAGGGTACATCCCGCAGGCACCCGTAGCATTACTATTCCTGAACGTTACTCGTTTGGAAGTTTTTGGGAATAGGGTCTGTGTCTAAACTTTAAACGAATAAACATCGGGAAGCTCGCTAGTATTTAGTGGAACTCTTGAAGGTTTCAGCCAATGGCCCGTTACTGGGACAACTTTGCGTACATGCGGCTAAATTGATGCAAATGTTGTGGAGGTTGAAGGGGCTGAGCAGTTTGAAGTCTTCCATGTTCCGAGTCAGGGCTTTTTGAGGGGTGGGCAGTCTGACTCCACTCAGTCGAATCGAAACCCTCTTACTGTAGCTGGCTTGCTCCGCTGCATCCAAGATCTTCCTTGCACAAGCACCAGTTGGAGCCCCGGTAGGAGCTTTGTGTACACATCCGAGCTCAAGATCTCAAACACAGCAAAAACTTGACTTTTGCAGCCCATATGTCCGATTAGAATCTTATAATTAGAGTCCTATGTGAGAGCTCAGACCATTCAAAATAGACTGTCTTAGCTGGAACGCATTCAGTCTGGAGCTTGGCGTTCTTTAGTGCACGGTTTCCGTGCAACCATGAAGAAAAGGATCTGCTGCCTTTGCTGAACATAGCGTAGGAGTGCTTCATTACTGCGCAATCTGCCACTCTTCGGGCAGCAGGCTTCAGATTGGGGGAAGGCAAGCTGTCTGTAGGTTTTGGTTCTGAATGTGGATACGGATGCGTGGCACAGGAAACGCGAATAACTAAACATACAGATGCGCGCTTGCGTGGCGCGCATTAGTTTTATCTCAAAGAGCTGTTTAGATGATGGGTTTTTGTAAGGGGGTCTCTGTATGTGTGTATATATATATACATACCCTGCAGACACCCGTCACTCGAACCTACATCACCAAAAGCAGGTCCTCGATATGGATTGATCAGCTGATGCGTGTAGGATTGCACAGCTTCGGGCATCTGAGTGCTCAACTTCAAACCTAAACTCTCGCTAGCGCAGGATTTCATGACAGGGTTCATGGTTTTGCAAGGCGCGGTTGATGGGGCGTCTGCCATCTCCGAACGGACTTACTCCTTCACCCCAGACCACCCAGGCCCAGCGGATCGGCCCCAGAGAGTCTCGCGCAGACCGGTTTGGGAGTCAACTTGCTCCAGAGCCTGGCTGTGCCTAGCCTAAAGGGAACCCTAAGCCGACAAGCGTTTTCTTTGAGCTTTGGGCGTTGAGAGGTTTAGGGCCTCTTGGGTCGGCGGCCTGAGCCGGAGGCTCCTAAGTCCGGGCACGCCCGTGGTCCGACGCCGTTCGGCGCCAGCCCTCGCTTTAGCTACCCCGGGGGGGGGGGGGGGGGGCTCTTAAATCCGGGCACGCCCGTGGTCCGACGCCGTTAGGCGCCAGCCCTAGCTTTAGCTATTCTGGGGGGGGGTTAAGCCGCTGACCCGGTTGGCTCCCCAACATCCGGCTCCAAATGCGGCTCCCGAAGGGCATCATGTTTCAGGTACAATTTTTATCGCGAAAAACGCGCTATTTCCCACCGAATTTGGGCTCCTGGACGCATTTTTTGGGCGCCCCATGGGGGGGTCCCAAAAACGACCCCGGAGAGCATCATCGACTCTCTTTTTCAACTTTGGCCAAATACGCGTTGTTGATTTTTTTGGGTGGCATTGGCCACCCCAAAGGACCCCCACAAGAGCGCGCATCATGAGCATCAGCGGGTTGGGTTTTGGGTTTCGGATGCGGCTGAGAGCTTGGAAAACACAGAAATCGCTGTAAATACCGTGGTTTTCGTGCTGTTACGGACATTTCCGTTTTGAGGCCGGCATATGCCCCTATAAGCCATGCATGCCTGGAGGCCGGAGCCGCTGATGCTCATGATGCGCGACCGGGCGGAGGGCCAGGGTGCGCATCATCGAGGCTTCGTTTCTCTTTGGGGACCCGGGGGGCGAGCATCAGCAGCATCAGTGGCTCCGGAAAGGGTTTCGGGCGGCAGGATTTCGAAGGATGCTGGCATAACTAAAAATAACATGGCACTCGACATGCGCGCACACGCGCGCGCGCGCGGAAAACGCACCAGTTCC